GAGAGTGCAGCGGTGAGGTGTGAGAGACGTGAGGAGTGGAACAGATGAGATTTGAGAGAGTATGAAGCACGAGAGCAGCAGAGAGAGAAGAGACGAGAGACAGCAAGACAGACGACGAGAGAGAGAGAGAGAGAGAGGAGACGACGGATAGAAGAGCGATCAAACCGAGAGACGAGAGACGAGGGAGGGACAGGGAGGGCAGGGAGGGAGGGCGAGAGAGGCGAGGCGAGGGCAGCGACGCAGAGGGAGGGAGGGCAGGGACGCAGACGACAACTCAACGGCAGAAAACAACGCGCCCACCACAGACGAACACCAAACACACCTCCACGCACACCTCCGGAGGGAGGGCAGGGACGCGGGAGGGAGGCGAGGTAGCGAGGAAGAAGGGAAGGAAGGAGAGAGCGAAGGAAGGAAGGAGAGAGGGAAAAGAGGGAAAGAGGGAGAGGAGGTAAAGAGGGAAAGAGGGAGGGAGGGAGAGGGAGAGGGAAGGGAGAGGGAGAGGGAAAGGGAAAGGGAAAGGGAAAGGGGAAAGGGAAAAGGGAAAGGGAAAGGGAAAGGAAAGGGAAAGGGAAAGGGAAAGGAAAGGAATGGAATGGGAATGGGAATGGGAATGGGAATGGGAATGGGAAAGGGAAAGGGAAAGGGAAAGGGAAAGGGAGCGAAGAGTGAGAGTCACTCAATTATGTACATGTTTGGGATGCGATTCTCACAACTCCATTCCACGACTGAGGAGTGGGAGAGATTTACTGCACCTTTTGTGCCTGGCAGTGGCATACCTACTAGCCAATCAGTAATTTGTTACAATATATTCCCAAAGTTTGAACATCCCAAATTTTAGCTGTAATTCTTTACGGTACAGACGCCAACAATTTTGGGGGGACATGTAGGGAACCGTTTTTTTTTTTTTTTTTTTTTTTTTGGGGGGGGGGGGGGGGATAAAGAGTGGGCTTAGCTTAATTTCTGTGTCAGTAAATTATTAAAGTTAATTATGAATACAATGAAATCGACTTTTCAGAAATGAGAGCCAAACTTCCTATCTACGAAGATCAAAGAAATGCAACTTTTCAGAAATGAGAGCCAAAATTTACAGTTTCTGAAATCAAAGAAATACGACTTTTCTGAAATGCGAGTGTCCAATTATGTTGCCATATTTGAATATACGAAAGTGCAAGTGCACACAGTAACCAACGCAAAATTTACTGAACCGTCCAAGTTGCAGTGACTCTTCATGCACTGCCCAAGGGGAGGGTTGATGGGGGGCTCCGCCCCCCAACACTCCCCTGGACACATTCTCTTCACCTCTTCTGTAGGCACGGAATGCTGAAACAGTTCAGAAAATTGCACTACACTTTGCACACTTTCTTTCATTTATGATGATTCCGTGAATCTGTAAAAACTTTATGATCTCTTCAGTATTTCCATTAAATTTCAAAAAAAAAAAAAAAAGTCAAGCACACCACCAGAACACAAATGACACACATCGGTCATTGTCACTGAGAAGAATGAGACAGGCCACTGTTGTAGCCAGAAATGTGCGTGTGTGTTAAGTATTGACTGTACTTTGTAGTTTGGCAATTAAGGATATTAATGAGTTAGTCAAACCTGAGGA